ATGCAACAAATCCTCACACACCACAACCTCGCCATTCATCGGAATCACACGACAGATTCCACATTCAGCACATACAAACACGCAATTTCGCTGAATTCGACCACAAAAGCAAAAAAAAAAAAAAAAAAAACTATTTAGAGAAAGGAAAGCGAAAGATCGTTTGATCGTGCCTGTTTGTATTGAATCTCGAGGGTGTAAGACAGGAGGACGGGGCTAATATCTCCGGCATCAGGCCGGGAGACCTGAACGATGATGGCCCACGGCAACTCTTCGAAAATCCGCGACTGCTCGGGGACGGGACCTTGGAACGAGAAGAACGAGGACGACAACGCCGGCGCAGCCTGCGCCAGCGGCGGATGGTGCGGGGACTCCGACTGCATTTGGACGTATCGCGGCCCGCCTACGTCCATGAACTGCTGAGACGACGCCATTTTATCCGTTCCACCTTCTATCTTCGCTTGTAAGCTAACGAGGAAGTCAGAATTGGGAATGGATTACAAGACTATCAATCCGATTAGATAGGGGGCCGCGTTTCCTTGGATCTAAAGCTTCCTCTCCGCCGATTGAATGGCAGATTGCAGATGGCGACGGAGACAGGAACGAGGATTGGAATTTGGAAGGGAAGAAGGAATGAAGTGGAACAATTGGAAATGCGCTGTACGTTTCGAGTTTGCGCTATATTTCGGATATTTTTTTCCTCTCCTTTTTCGCATTTTTTATTTTATTATTATTTTTTGGGCGGAAAAGGTTTCCAAACGGATTAATTCCCTAAATACACATTAAACTAAACCAAATTCCTAAACTACCACACTTATAAAAAAAATTCCCAAAATACCTAAGTTTGGAGTGGTTCGAGTTTGAGGAACTCGAACTACTAACCGGTTCGAGTGTAGAAGACTCGATCTACACGTAAATCGATGATATAAGCCTCGAACCATGTGGGGCTGAAGTGGTTCGAGTTCAGTGAACTCGAACCACTACTTTGAAATTTCCAATCACCATAACTTTGTCCTCGGTTATCCGATCGTAGCAAACTTTTTTTTCATTTCGCATAACTTTTCGAGGACTACAACTTTTATAATAGAAATATTTTCAGAATATATTTGAAAATGTGAAAATTAAAGTTAAAGTTACTCCCAAAACCCCTTATATTAAAAACTATTCCTATTTTGAAAATTTATTCCTAGTAAATGTTGTAGTACTCAAAAAATTATGCAAAATAAAAAAAAACTTTGCGACGTTTGGATTGCGGAGCACAAAGTTATGATCCTCCAAAGTTTGACAAATTTGAAAATTTGCTCGTTTAATTTATGGGTAGCAAATGACGTTTTCTAAGATAGCCATCCAAAAATGTCTTGTTTGTAAAAATATTGCTCTTTTGGCAGAAATTTCCTATATATAAAAAAATTTCCCGTGCCTTCGCCCCGAGAAAATGTCATTTGTTACCCCTAAACGAGCAATTTTTCGATTTTGCCAAACTTTAGAGGATCATAACTTTGTGCTCCGTAATCCAAACGTTGCAATGTTTTTTTTTATTTTGCATAATTTTTTGAGTACTACAACATTTACTAGGAATAAATTTTCAAAATAGGAATAGTTTCTAATATAAGGGGTTTTGCGAGTAACTTTAACTTTAATTTTCACATTTTCACATATATTCTGAAAATATTTCTATTATAAAAGTTGTAGTCCTCGAAAAGTTATGCGAAATGAAAAAAAAGTTTGCTACGATCGGATAACCGAGGACAAAGTTATGGTGATTGGAAATTTCAAAGTAGTGGTTCGAGTTCACTGAACTCGAACCACTTCAGCCCCACATGGTTCGAGGCTTATATCATCGATTTACGTGTAGATCGAGTCTTCTACACTCGAACCGGTTAGTAGTTCGAGTTCCTCAAACTCGAACCACTCCAAACTTAGGTATTTTGGGAATTTTTTTTATAAGTGTGGTAGTTTAGGAATTTGGTTTAGTTTAATGTGTATTTAGGGAATTAATCCTTTCCAAACACCGGAAGAAGAACAATAGAAAATTGTCAAACTAGCTTTCAATTGTCGTCACGTGGACTGCGGAACTTTCAAAGAGTAAACTTGGCCAGCTGGCCCGCCCGGCCACTCTTCTGCGTGTCGACAGCACAAACGGTCACTGAACTTTAGTCAATTAACAAATTGGTCATTGGAACTTTGATTCTTAACAAACTTGTCATTTAAACAAACTTGAAAGAACTACATTAACAATCACTTCGAGGTTATCTTGTACACGTTAATCATCGTATCTTTTACTTTCGTCAAGTTTTTCAACGCATTGTCAATAATAATGTGTCAACTTAGGCCCTGTTTAGTAGAGTTTCCTTCTTGTTGTGTTGTGAGAAGGTTTTGTGAACGTAGAAGAAACACAACACCAACACAACTCAAACAAAAAACCCAAATAAACAGGAAAAAGAAAACTGTTGTGGTTGGGGAATCTGGAAATCAAAAGTCAGCAGCCCCCAAGTCTGAGATGCAGAAACTTCTTCCCTATCCACTCCTCTGACTCCGCCGAAACCCTTCCAAGACAGAGACCCACCTTTATCATCGCCATCTCCACCTTCCCTCTTGACGTTGTGCGGTCATCGGCGCTATGGGGTCGTCGATGTTGGTTGGCGACGAAATTGATGGAGCGGGTGGAGGAGGAAGGAAGAGGAGGGTCAGAATTAGGCGTTGGGGTCGACGGAAGGAATTGAGAAGATGGGCAAGGGAGTGGCGACGGCGGCGGAGGAAGTTATTCCGACAACGCTTGGCGACAGGGACGATTGAATTGAGAAGTGGAGGAGGAGTGGCTACGGTGGCGGTAGCCGGGAGGAGTGGTAGATGGTGGTGTGGAGCTCGTCGGCACTCGTGACGGGGACGGTTGGGTTGAGAAGTGGAGGTGTGGCTATGGCGGCGGGAGGAGCGGTAGATGGTGGTGAGTAGAGATGGAGAAAAAGGAAACAAGAAGATGAATAGTGGCGTGAATGAATACACGATTGGTAAAGGAAAAAAAGGCAATAAAGGAAAAAAGAAACAAAACACATCCAAAGCCACTTTTTGGCGTTTCTCAAATTTGGGTTCTGTTGTGGAAACCTGTTGCACAACCAAAATAGAAAACACAACTAAACATGTTTTTTTTCTTGGTTTTCACAATTCTTAAAAGCACAACAGAAAACAGAAACAAGCAACAATACTAAACAGGCCCACCAACTTTATAATAAAAATTGATTATATAGATACAAAGACCTTTGTTAAAGTACATGAACAACTCATTCTAACGAATACGTGGTCTAAACTAAAGCCGGTTAATCAAATAAAATCCAACCAATATTATCAAAACCCACATCGATCCCTCCCCTACACGGGACTAATCAGAGGCGAATCTTACCTGCCTTATCATGTATATTGGTGTATGAACAGACAAAGTTTAACAATTTGGACGGAAAAAACTAGTCAATTACGAATAAAGTATTTTTTTGATATAGTTATTTCGGATTTTACATACTGGATTTCACACGAATCTAAATTCACGAAAATGTCAGCAACCCCAAAGTTTAGTGACTGTTTATGCAATAGTTCTTCCCCAATGTTCATCATTTCATCAACCTTTCTTTTTACCCCTTTTTCCCTTCAATTTTCCCTGTAAGGGTGAATTAGTAAACGTACAAGGTAACGTATTCTTCATTGCATACAAAATAAATGAATGAATTAAGACTTGTAGGTTATCTTTGCTCTAAGTAACCTGCAAGGAAGAAGGAACGTTTAGGTTGGTTTAAGTTGCCTGATGTTTTGACTCTATACACCCAGACAAGTGGGTTAGTGTGCACTTTCTGCAGTGCTGGTTGAAAGTACACGCTTACCACATGTCTTAATCAGCTGACTAATTACGTTGACAAGATTCGCACTTACTTTCTTCCTCAAAGACCAATCCTATGACCTGGGGAATACATACTGACGATTCAATTCGTAGTTGAAATGAACTCAAATGTATTTATACGTAACAGATTGACGAGGTTAATAGTAAAGATTAAAGAAGAAGTCAATGTCTGCCACCTAGAGCAAGAATGAAGATGATCTTCCACTAAAATACGAATATAGAAATGTACGATGGACCGAGAGTTAAAGTCGCTTCTGAGCAGTAATGCAAAGGTTTTGCTCCATCATTGCGAACCAATACAGCAGAATACAAACCATACACCGTGTTGTGTTGATTGCAGTACCATAAAGCAAGCACTAATGGCTAGATTCATTACACTTAATTACTCATCTACTAGTTATCGCAATGAAAAATGCAAGCAACTGACCAATTAAAGCTCTATTTGATTACGACCTAAGCCCTCTTACATCAAATCTAAACAACCATTATCTAGGGCTGGGAAAATAGATCAGACCGTTAGAAAAACCGTGGTCCAAACCGTACCGCACAGTTTGGTCCGGACCGTAGACCGTTAAGTATGGTCTGATCTGGTCCATGGTCTGTACTATTTTATATTTTGATCTCTTGGTCTGGTCTGGTCTAGACCGCGGTTTACCGGATCAAACCGTGGACTCAACTGACTTGTAAATACGTGTTAACAGCCCATTCGACCACTCTCCCAACTCCCACAACGACACTCAAGTCTCAACCTTAGTTTTGTGAATCTCGTGCCTCCTTAATTCACAACCACATTTAACTAGAGAGTAGAGATAATCGTGTCTCAATATGACATTATGTTAATGTTTATGACGTTATGGTGCAAGTTGGGATGCTTTTACTTTGTATCTTTGGTATGTATTAAGATTTAGAGTATCAAAATTATTCATGCATGTTAGGATTAATGATTTAAGGCAAATAACAATTATTTTCCTGGTTATTGGTTCAATTTTTTGTGTGGTTGACTAAACAAATTATTCATTTTTCGTTGAGTGTGGTCTATCTGGACCAGACCAGACTGAACCAGACCGCACAAGCGTGATCTAGACCGAACCGTATAGCAAATTTGAGTCGCACGCACCTCAGAATCTCGTGAACCGAGAAGACTTCTATCGTTGATATTAGCTGATCCAATGAGAGTTGTGCGATCATCAATGATCATGATTTTACTATGGACATACACCTGTAAGTGGTATATTCAGAACTCAGAACCCTCATTAAAAAACTGGTGTGACTCAAGAAAGTTAATCAAACAGAAAGAACAAGCAAAACACAGTTTTACCTGACTTGTGGCTACTGGACCGCCATCCGAAAGTCGACCATGGGCTCGAAGACCATAGAAGGAAATGTAATCTTGTGTTCTAGGACCGAGAAGCTCATAAAGATTATGCAACACGGAATGCTGTCCTTTGCAGATGGTTCGATGCTGCCAATGCATTATGGCTCTCACCGATGCAGCACCAGCATCATCCAGACCACCCTAATAATACATTAAACAACAGTCGATTAATGTTGGTATGCAACAATTATGTTTCAAAGCCAGAGGAGCAAGCCTGTCAGAAAATAGAACCTGAAAACCTGGGATGAGTGGTATGATAATGATGACACGGAAACACTTCTTTTCAATGTATGCTCGCATTATTCGCCGATATAAGGACTCTAGCACCCGGTTCTTTATGACATCATCTCCTGAAAGACCTGATATGAAAAATTGATTCTGGGAACAGCCACCAGAGAATTAGATAGAAGTCAGAGAAAATGAATAAATTTGGCTTTCATATAAGTTCCTTAGGAATGTTTCGGCAATAGAAAGCCAAAGACCAATGGACACTGTATGTAGTAAGTTCCTACTTCAGTCCAAAATTCTTTCATATTCAATTTATCCCATTTTCTACAACCAAGATGTCGGCATCAGTCTTACCTGTAACTAATATGAAACACTTTCTAGATAAATTATTCCAATCAAACAATAGATCGGTCATACCTCAATATACACCAAGTGTTCTGCTTTCTCAATAAGAGAACAGTAGGCATTGTGAATGCTGTCTTCAGTTTGGCTTGTTCCAGCAGACCACTGACTTACACTCCTCAGAACCTGAAAAATGAGTGAAAAAACATTAATCATACAGACAAAGGCAATACCTATTATATGGTAAGATATGAGAGAAGATAACACAAGAGTAGAAACATTATTAATAATGCAAAGACCACCAAGCAAAAAGCCCTAGGCATAGCTCAAAGCAAGTTAAAAACTGGTCCATCTTCCAGATATGTAATTGAGAGTGCAAAGCCTCAGTTATTCTTATCCGACTCCTGCCTGGAGTGTCTACAAAGTATTTTATTTGACCTCTTCTTTTTCACCTTGAGCAAAAAATATACCTACAGCATGAAGTTATAAGCACCCACCTGACAATGGCAAGATGCACGTGGGCCAACCTCCCCTGTTTCATCATCACTACCAATCTGATCACCTCTCTCTTGAGTTTCCCACCACTCCAAATCAGAAGATCTAATACCAACAGGTTGTGTCCATAAATCTGGAGAATTTTTCACATCTGAAGGGTCGTGGTCACCCACAAAGCTTTTCATAGGCATTTCTGGAGCTAATGGTGCTACTTTTGCTTTCCGTAATGAATTGGAGGCTCTAAGAGCTGCTGCTTCCGCTCCATTAGACTTGGGGCCACCAACACTAGAACCATCGAGTTCCTCTGGTTCTTGAGGTAAAAGCAATGGGATATCTTGGAAAGACGACCTAGCTGAAAGAGATTCTTGCCTCCGGATTTTACCATTATCATCCGCAAGTCTGTTTGTGACCTCCATGGGAGACGTGTTCCCCATATAATGAGGGATAACCATGTGCTGTTGAGGCATAAGCAGTGGGATTGCTTCCTCATATGGAGCTTTGTTTCTCTGGGGAAAAAGGAAAGTAGCGATGTTCAAACAACAAGGGTTAACATATGCATTTTGCCTGCCATGAATGAACTACCTGAATCTAAAATATTGACCTTTGCATGGTTCCAACGCTGAACAAAGTGCCTAGCTATATCACGACAAGCTGGGCCCCATAAAGCACAGTGGACATCATGCCAAGGCATTCTAGGATACTTTGTACGATCAAGTTCGTCTTTCATTGTATCTTCCCAGGAATTTGGTTCGGATTCCCTGCAGAACGAATCAAATTTCATTTTCAGAGGCTACATTTTATTCAGAACCAAGAACTAATAAGGTCAATGCAATCAACTGATTCATTAATTTACTCTTCAATTAAAATCCATGCAGAACCAAATATTATAGGGTAACTATATATCCATCTTGTGAGAGGGGCTGGTCAGGATGGTTCGAAATTATCAACCTCTTGCCTATAAATTTAGAACAGCTTTATTGATAACTGGTAATAAAAAAACTGGCTGGGTCAGCGACTTTGGATAATTTGCTTGGATATTTAATTCCGCTATCAATTTAGACCAGCTTTCTACCTAGCAGTGATTTAACTACTTGTATGCCACTTGGATCACTTGATTTGTTATTTTGGGGAGCTATAGAAGTAGACTAAGTATTTTATATATAAAATACAAGGCTAGACTAAGTATAATTATGTGTAGAATATTTATTGATGTCAGCATACGCCAACTATAACGCTTATACAAAATATTATTATAGACATCAATGACCCAATATGCTGATTGGGAAAAACAGAAACTCACAATCATACTTAGGAAGTGCAAATATTAGACTACCTTGGGTTATAATAATCTTTTCCAGGCCACATGACAGGAGGGCAGTCACCGACTTTGTGTTCACTTGTGTCATAACGACCGAAGCACAAGTCCAGCCCTCCGATAAAACAAATGTGGTGATCAATAATGACAAGCTTTTCATGGTGTGACCTGCATAGATGAAATGGACAACGTAAGGGGTAGTTACCAAGGCAACACTTCTATTGGCAAGGAATTAATGAACAAGACGAGCATGTTATCTCCGAATTACTGTGACAAGGTTTTCCAACAACACATACCAAAGATACACTCCACAAGAAAAGTGGTCAGGATAGCGCAGCACACGTACATTCTCGTGAATGCTAAGAAGTTTTTTCTTGCTATAAACACTGTTGATTTTAAGAGCAAGAGCAACCTCTTTGTATAGAAGAATGTAAATCTGCATCCACAGATTTTGTTATATATTACCACTAATTAAAATATTCAGAATCAAACTGTCCAAGGAATCTCAAAAGTGTCAGAAAACCCTCTCCTTGTATAGCACAGAGCTTTGTTGTTTTCTTTAACCCCCAATACTAGGACTTTAAACAACATTCGGACAAAGAAATGGTACCTGAACACCCTGCTTAGCTTTAGCATCCAGCAAAGCATCAAGCCTAGCAGACGCATGCTCTTGAAATGGTCGTCGTAGGTAGAGTTCAGGGCAAAGCCACCAGCCACAAATAAATATCTGCAAGAAAAATATTTATTAAGTCAACACATATTTCGACTTTCGAGTTCATGGAAAAGCTTCAAGGAACATATTACAGATTCTACAGGTCAAGGAACAAACTTCAGATTTAGCATCCTCGATTGCTGAAGCGATAGCATCAAAAGCTGCCCTTCCATCTATAAACCATTGAGCCTGACTACCATCATCAGATAACCCTCTGGGAGGAGCAAACGATCCAAAACGATGAGGATGACACCAGCCCTCAGGAGGCCTAAGTCCGGCATCATTGATTGCAGCAACCCAATCCTTAATTCTTGCACCAGTTCTGACTCTCAACCTTATGCTCCGGTTGCCACTTGTGACCTTTGAAGTTTCGAATCATCTGTTAGCGCATGAAATTATCTTTATAATTTCATCTTATAGAAACTTACCTACTAGGTAACCAAAAGGGTAAACAAAGTTGAACGAAAATGAGCCGTATAAAAGGATTTTTTTAGCTTCGCTGATTTTCTAACTAAATAAAGCATTTGAAAACTGCTTTCATATTGTTAAGATGGAAGGAAAAATAATTATTAAGGACGACGATATCATTTTCCAGGTCTTCTGAAAGTGAACAGAACATAAAAAAGAATGCCAGGTTGTACTAAGAACATTAACGATCCCTGGAACAAAAGCTGAAGAATGATTGAGTAGAACCAGAATGACGTTCACCCTTCACCTAAGCTGGAATGCAGATAATATAAAGCTAAAAAGGTGTTCTTTTTTCTTTGGTTCACTAGAGAATGCAAAATCAATCACGCATACAGATGGATTTCTTACCTTAAATGTATGTCGTAAAGGATTGCGTTCCTTTGTTTCTGTTGCAAGTGACACTCGGCCATCGCCATTTCCATCAGAGGCTGGTAGTACATCGAAAACAATTATATCCAAGGGTTTGGCATCAAAAGGATCAGCAAGCAGGGCCAAGAATCCAGGCTTTAGGACAGCCCACACCTGCAGAGAAAGATATGAGACCACTTATTGCACACAACCATCGTAATTCCTCACACTGAAGATTCTTAGTCACAGGATAGTGAGTGCCCCTCTGCATGATTAACGGTTTCACAATTAATATATAGGTGATCTATCATTGTAGTAATCTGCTTAAAATAGGGATGAACTTCTCTCTGGACTGAATAATGCAAAACTAGTCATAAAATTGAGCAGTCAGAACTTAATCATACTACATTTTGTCATGAGCATGAATCTAATAGAGAACACATAAAAACTCCTCCTTCTTGCATACAAGCAAGAAGACACTTTAATTTAACCAAAGTATAGAAACAAGTTAGGTTTACCTTCTGCCAGTTATCATTGCAGCAGCTAAACCAGCTGCAGGAACAACATTTCCTGTTGTCCTCATTTGTTGGGATTTTTGGCAGATGCTTCACCATAATATAATCTTCTTTAAGCTTAGGTCCATATTCAGGGCAAAATGATAGCTTAGAAACCTCCAAAAACTTACAAACCTGCAGTATAAGTTCCCAAAGGCAAAGTATTGATATCTGATGGAGATGTAAAATCTTATCAATCAGAGTACTCTTTCTGAGAAACAAATGCATCCCAAGAGAGCAGTATGATTGTACCCAATGAGTACCCCTAGAAGCAAAGAAAGAGCAGACGAAACTGAAGCAATAATTTCAATCCAATGAGTCATGCAACTAATAAAACAAATGATGGAATTTCAAACTAATGAGTCATGCCCATATAATTTGGTATGGACAACAGCACAAGCTCAATTCTGCATATTACAAGTTGACGAAGCATGGACAGCACAGGAATGACCCTGACACTGAGGAATTGACATTATCATCACGTTGTACAACTATGGACTTCTATCACCTATAAAAGAGAGCGTTCCAGAATAACTTGACAGTCGCCACATGGAAATAGTTTTGAAAACGAGAGTACAGACATGACAAGGCCTTGAGATGAAATATTGACTTGCTGATATAAGCATAAATGCAATGCACTAAGAACACAATACATGATGTAGCCACACCACCTTACAGCTAAGATGTTCAACAATCATGTATCACTAATATGCATCTGTGCGGTGATTCAGCTAAAAATGAAACTTCTAATCCTATGAAGTAAGTGGCACTTATCAATCCATAAAGATTACAAAAGCTTACCTCTCGAGAGTTGGCAATATCCATATTCCCCAGAAAATGGTTGAGATACTGTTGCATTGATACCTTTGCTCTATCCGACATGGACTGCTGCCTTCCCAAGGACGGTGGACGAAACACATTCAATGCAGCACTCGACGGAACATCTCTGAACAGAAAACCCACCTATAAGAACTATAAGAACCACCAAACAGCGAGTAATCCAGAGAGCGATGCAGAAAGAGCCATCATGCACGACGCCTTCCAGTGGACGGCATCCAAAAAAAAGAAGGCAGCAGTTCTTTTTACCTGTTCTTAGAACTTTCATCCTGATGCTGTACCGGGATTGCCTCATCATCATCATCGCCATCCATCACTTGTGTATTCTCCCCCATTCCTAGATTTTGAAGCCAGTCTTTAACCTTTCATTTGACATCCATCAAAACCAGAAACCCATCAAAACTAAACACCTCCTCTACCAACGTACAGCAGCATAACACAGTTTCCGATTCACATACAAAGCACAGCCTCTCTCACTCTCACCTGTTCCTGCTTCCCCTGAAGTTCCTCAAAGAATGCTCGTTTCTTCAACGCAAAGTGTAAAAATAAAAATTGCGCACCCGTCTTCACCAGTTGCCACTTAAACTGCAAACACAATCGTAACAAAAATTAGTAAGAAAAGACCATCTGAAGCAAGGGAAGGAATCAAACCCAGTATAACTAATCGCAGGACAGCTTCAAATTAAGCTACGAAACCCCCCACACATCGCTGAATGCAACAAATCCTCACACACCACAACCTCGCCATTCATCGGAATCACACGACAGATTCCACATTCAGCACATACAAACACGCAATTTCGCTGAATTCAACCACAAAAGCAAAAAAAAAAAAAAAAAAACTATTTAGAGAAAGGAAAGCGAAAGATCGTTTGATCGTGCCTGTTTGTATTGAATCTCGAGGGTGTAAGACAGGAGGACGGGGCTAATATCTCCGGCATCAGGCCGGGAGACCTGAACGATGATGGCCCACGGCAACTCTTCGAAAATCCGCGACTGCTCGGGGACGGGACCTTGGAACGAGAAGAACGAGGACGACAACGCCGGCGCAGCCTGCGCCAGCGGCGGATGGTGCGGGGACTCCGACTGCATTTGGACGTATCGCGGCCCGCCTACGTCCATGAACTGCTGAGACGACGCCATTTTATCCGTTCCACCTTCTATCTTCGCTTGTAAGCTAACGAGGAAGTCAGAATTGGGAATGGATTACAAGACTATCAATCCGATTAGATAGGGGGCCGCGTTTCCTTGGATCTAAAGCTTCCTCTCCGCCGATTGAATGGCAGATTGCAGATGGCGACGGAGACAGGAACGAGGATTGGAATTTGGAAGGGAAGAAGGAATGAAGTGGAACAATTGGAAATGCGCTGTACGTTTCGAGTTTGCGCTATATTTCGGATATTTTTTTCCTCTCCTTTTTCGCATTTTTTATTTTATTATTATTTTTTGGGCGGAAAAGGTTTCCAAACGGATTAATTCCCTAAATACACATTAAACTAAACCAAATTCCTAAACTACCACACTTATAAAAAAAATTCCCAAAATACCTAAGTTTGGAGTGGTTCGAGTTTGAGGAACTCGAACTACTAACCGGTTCGAGTGTAGAAGACTCGATCTACACGTAAATCGATGATATAAGCCTCGAACCATGTGGGGCTGAAGTGGTTCGAGTTCAGTGAACTCGAACCACTACTTTGAAATTTCCAATCACCATAACTTTGTCCTCGGTTATCCGATCGTAGCAAACTTTTTTTTTCATTTCGCATAACTTTTCGAGGACTACAACTTTTATAATAGAAATATTTTCAGAATATATTTGAAAATGTGAAAATTAAAGTTAAAGTTACTCCCAAAACCCCTTATATTAAAAACTATTCCTATTTTGAAAATTTATTCCTAGTAAATGTTGTAGTACTCAAAAAATTATGCAAAATAAAAAAAAACTTTGCGACGTTTGGATTGCGGAGCACAAAGTTATGATCCTCCAAAGTTTGACAAATTTGAAAATTTGCTCGTTTAATTTATGGGTAGCAAATGACGTTTTCTAAGATAGCCATCCAAAAATGTCTTGTTTGTAAAAATATTGCTCTTTTGGCAGAAATTTCCTATATATAAAAAAATTTCCCGTGCCTTCGCCCCGAGAAAATGTCATTTGTTACCCCTAAACGAGCAATTTTTCGATTTTGCCAAACTTTAGAGGATCATAACTTTGTGCTCCGTAATCCAAACGTTGCAATGTTTTTTTTTATTTTGCATAATTTTTTGAGTACTACAACATTTACTAGGAATAAATTTTCAAAATAGGAATAGTTTCTAATATAAGGGGTTTTGCGAGTAACTTTAACTTTAATTTTCACATTTTCACATATATTCTGAAAATATTTCTATTATAAAAGTTGTAGTCCTCGAAAAGTTATGCGAAATGAAAAAAAAGTTTGCTACGATCGGATAACCGAGGACAAAGTTATGGTGATTGGAAATTTCAAAGTAGTGGTTCGAGTTCACTGAACTCGAACCACTTCAGCCCCACATGGTTCGAGGCTTATATCATCGATTTACGTGTAGATCGAGTCTTCTACACTCGAACCGGTTAGTAGTTCGAGTTCCTCAAACTCGAACCACTCCAAACTTAGGTATTTTGGGAATTTTTTTTATAAGTGTGGTAGTTTAGGAATTTGGTTTAGTTTAATGTGTATTTAGGGAATTAATCCTTTCCAAACACCGGAAGAAGAACAATAGAAAATTGTCAAACTAGCTTTCAATTGTCGTCACGTGGACTGCGGAACTTTCAAAGAGTAAACTTGGCCAGCTGGCCCGCCCGGCCACTCTTCTGCGTGTCGACAGCACAAACGGTCACTGAACTTTAGTCAATTAACAAATTGGTCATTGGAACTTTGATTCTTAACAAACTTGTCATTTAAACAAACTTGAAAGAACTACATTAACAATCACTTCGAGGTTATCTTGTACACGTTAATCATCGTATCTTTTACTTTCGTCAAGTTTTTCAACGCATTGTCAATAATAATGTGTCAACTTAGGCCCTGTTTAGTAGAGTTTCCTTCTTGTTGTGTTGTGAGAAGGTTTTGTGAACGTAGAAGAAACACAACACCAACACAACTCAAACAAAAAACCCAAATAAACAGGAAAAAGAAAACTGTTGTGGTTGGGGAATCTGGAAATCAAAAGTCAGCAGCCCCCAAGTCTGAGATGCAGAAACTTCTTCCCTATCCACTCCTCTGACTCCGCCGAAACCCTTCCAAGACAGAGACCCACCTTTATCATCGCCATCTCCACCTTCCCTCTTGACGTTGTGCGGTCATCGGCGCTATGGGGTCGTCGATGTTGGTTGGCGACGAAATTGATGGAGCGGGTGGAGGAGGAAGGAAGAGGAGGGTCAGAATTAGGCGTTGGGGTCGACGGAAGGAATTGAGAAGATGGGCAAGGGAGTGGCGACGGCGGCGGAGGAAGTTATTCCGACAACGCTTGGCGACAGGGACGATTGAATTGAGAAGTGGAGGAGGAGTGGCTACGGTGGCGGTAGCCGGGAGGAGTGGTAGATGGTGGTGTGGAGCTCGTCGGCACTCGTGACGGGGACGGTTGGGTTGAGAAGTGGAGGTGTGGCTATGGCGGCGGGAGGAGCGGTAGATGGTGGTGAGTAGAGATGGAGAAAAAGGAAACAAGAAGATGAATAGTGGCGTGAATGAATACACGATTGGTAAAGGAAAAAAAGGCAATAAAGGAAAAAAGAAACAAAACACATCCAAAGCCACTTTTTGGCGTTTCTCAAATTTGGGTTCTGTTGTGGAAACCTGTTGCACAACCAAAATAGAAAACACAACTAAACATGTTTTTTTTCTTGGTTTTCACAATTCTTAAAAGCACAACAGAAAACAGAAACAAGCAACAATACTAAACAGGCCCACCAACTTTATAATAAAAATTGATTATATAGATACAAAGACCTTTGTTAAAGTACATGAACAACTCATTCTAACGAATACGTGGTCTAAACTAAAGCCGGTTAATCAAATAAAATCCAACCAATATTATCAAAACCCACATCGATCCCTCCCCTACACGGGACTAATCAGAGGCGAATCTTACCTGCCTTATCATGTATATTGGTGTATGAACAGACAAAGTTTAACAATTTGGACGGAAAAAACTAGTCAATTACGAATAAAGTATTTTTTTGATATAGTTATTTCGGATTTTACATACTGGATTTCACACGAATCTAAATTCACGAAAATGTCAGCAACCCCAAAGTTTAGTGACTGTTTATGCAATAGTTCTTCCCCAATGTTCATCATTTCATCAACCTTTCTTTTTACCCCTTTTTCCCTTCAATTTTCCCTGTAAGGGTGAATTAGTAAACGTACAAGGTAACGTATTCTTCATTGCATACAAAATAAATGAATGAATTAAGACTTGTAGGTTATCTTTGCTCTAAGTAACCTGCAAGGAAGAAGGAACGTTTAGGTTGGTTTAAGTTGCCTGATGTTTTGACTCTATACACCCAGACAAGTGGGTTAGTGTGCACTTTCTGCAGTGCTGGTTGAAAGTACACGCTTACCACATGTCTTAATCAGCTGACTAATTACGTTGACAAGATTCGCACTTACTTTCTTCCTCAAAGACCAATCCTATGACCTGGGGAATACATACTGACGATTCAATTCGTAGTTGAAATGAACTCAAATGTATTTATACGTAACAGATTGACGAGGTTAATAGTAAAGATTAAAGAAGAAGTCAATGTCTGCCACCTAGAGCAAGAATGAAGATGATCTTCCACTAAAATACGAATATAGAAATGTACGATGGACCGAGAGTTAAAGTCGCTTCTGAGCAGTAATGCAAAGGTTTTGCTCCATCATTGCGAACCAATACAGCAGAATACAAACCATACACCGTGTTGTGTTGATTGCAGTACCATAAAGCAAGCACTAATGGCTAGATTCATTACACTTAATTACTCATCTACTAGTTATCGCAATGAAAAATGCAAGCAACTGACCAATTAAAGCTCTATTTGATTACGACCTAAGCCCTCTTACATCAAATCTAAACAACCATTATCTAGGGCTGGGAAAATAGATCAGACCGTTAGAAAAACCGTGGTCCAAACCGTACCGCACAGTTTGGTCCGGACCGTAGACCGTTAAGTATGGTCTGATCTGGTCCATGGTCTGTACTATTTTATATTTTGATCTCTTGGTCTGGTCTGGTCTAGACCGCGGTTTACCGGATCAAACCGTGGACTCAACTGACTTGTAAATACGTGTTAACAGCCCATTCGACCACTCTCCCAACTCCCACAACGACACTCAAGTCTCAACCTTAGTTTTGTGAATCTCGTGCCTCCTTAATTCACAACCACATTTAACTAGAGAGTAGAGATAATCGTGTCTCAATATGACATTATGTTAATGTTTATGACGTTATGGTGCAAGTTGGGATGCTTTTACTTTGTATCTTTGGTATGTATTAAGATTTAGAGTATCAAAATTATTCATGCATGTTAGGATTAATGATTTAAGGCAAATAACAATTATTTTCCTGGTTATTGGTTCAATTTTTTGTGTGGTTGACTAAACAAATTATTCATTTTTCGTTGAGTGTGGTCTATCTGGACCAGACCAGACTGAACCAGACCGCACAAGCGTGATCTAGACCGAACCGTATAGTCTATGGTCTGGTCTGTGGTCTATACTTTAGCCTCTCGGTCTGGACCATAGACCGTATAGATGGTCTGATCTGGACCAGACCGCACCGTTTTCCAGCCTATCCGATTCTCTAGTCTGATTGATCCCAACAAAAACCTTGTTGGCAACGGAATCGCCACAAGCAATCTCCATTCACACATTCAACGATGCGTAGGCTATTTGTAATCCAGCGCAAGCAAACCACCGACACTAACACACATTGAAGATCAAACACAGAGGACAAGATGATACCAAAACTTCATATTGTATTGGAGTTGGAAGGAAGATCATTCACCACAAAAGAATAAACACGGGATGAAACGTCAGCTAACTAATGGCCTCTCTGATAGAAAAGTTCACTTCTTGGATTTCTTGACTACTCCCCTGCAAAAGTTGAAGCACCCAGGTAAAGGAACCCGTCAACAACTTGGCAAAACGAAAAAATCAGAAAATTCTATGTGTAGCAATCTTACTCTGTAGGCAGAGGTGCAGGCATGGGTTCTGCCTTCATCCCAGGTCCCTGAAATTCCACAAACGAATCGCAGTTATGATCGGTCATTCGCACAAGTTACGAATGAAGAAGCCAGGCATTGCAAGTAAATGTCATCTTCTTACTTGTGCAAAGCGCTCTTCCCTT